ATTATGGTTACCGCCAACAAAAAAGACGGAGGTAAAAAAAACCGGAAACCTGGTTGCCGAGTTCACGAAGTGAATTGGCTTGTTTTCCAACGTCGTTGCCAAGCGACGAAAACCCAACCCCGATGGCAAACACCGGGGGGGGAGGAAACTTTGTTCATGGTGGGGGGGGAAATATGCACGATGGGGGACGAGTAGGATACTCAATACGGCGAGATGGGGTGGATGCCATGACGCGCGTTGGCGTTGTACAACGGGATTTCGAAAGTTATATATTCGTCCAGAAGGTACCCGTTTGCGCAGTACAGTTTTTGTTGAATCAGTACAGTTTTTGTTGAACCTGTATAGTGGAAAATTTGAAGCCTTTTCCACAGATGACTTCTTCCGTGTGACCCTGGATCGCAGTTCTTCGATAGGGCAGGCAAAATGCCATACAGTAGGTAGGCGCTTCAAAGTAGATAGGCCAGTGTAAGGAGAAAAGAATCTACGTGAAACCCCAGCCCATACGTTTTCACGTCGAAAAGCATTGACCACCCCTCAAGCGCCTGGAAAGCGAAATTGGACCACGTCACCCACACCCCAGCTGCTACTGGATGCGAAAACGAATCACACAACATCACGATACTTATTTTTCCTGGCCTTCTCGCACTTACCGGCACTTTTGTAGCAGGCGTTGGATATGCTCTATCTCGGATTTGAGCTCCCTCAGTTCCTATGTGGTAGCATCGAGTTGACGAAAGGGGCGGATTGGAGAAAGACAGGGAGGGTGGGGGGAGTATCCCGGTTGGTATCGCGCCGCAGTTTTACGCAAACTACAACAGGGCCGGGACACTTCTCAGCCATTCGGAAATACGTGCTTTCCGCACCAACGCTACGCAAGCCGCGTCAAGGTCAGTTGTCGACGGGTTGTTGTGGTGGTCCTATCTGGCGGCATCTCTTGCTTGGCAGCATCTGTGCCCCCGTAAGGACGTGTTGGAATATACCTGAAAGCTTCCCTGGTAGACCCTTTTCTCGACCTCTATCGCCGCTTTGCACTTGGTTTCTTCCTCGTCTTCCTCCTCGCCCAAGCCTACCTCCGGCCGGTCATTTCTATCCTCGTCGTCCCCTTTGCTACCACCCACACTGCCCTCTTCCATAAGGCCGTCCAAGGCTCGCTCTCGTCGAACCTGAGCAGCCGTAATCATTTTGGGGTGGTGTGGTCGTCGTTCGCTTGCGGAAGAGGGGGCGCGGGTTGTCAGGAGGTGCAGAGAAGTTGAGCATAATGGGTGTGACTGAACCCCGCGTATAAACGTGGAAACCGTCAAAAAATATTCCACAGCGGAAAATGAGACATTCTCTGTGGTGTCACCGGCTCATTGGATCTCCAACCCAAGGAGGCGTGATATCTATTTTCGGGTGTGATGCGCTTGGAGTAGTGGAAAGTGTAGCGGGGGCGTAGGGTGGATAACCGAGCTGTTGGAGGTCTCGCGTCACCCCTTTGAAGATTTTTATCGGGCAATTTGTGGGCGGAGCAGACTCACCGAGAGTGAAAAACTTCGTACCTTTGCAGGACGTTTCTCTCGACGTGTCCGCGGCACACTAATCTTTATTTCGCGGCCTTTACATACAAAATTGGCGGGTTTCTTTACCATGAAACATGCTTCGGTTCACGACAAGGCCAATTGCCTAGAGAATGAAATAAAGTGGTATTGTTCCAAGGATAATGTACTGCTACGAACACCTAATACTCTCCATGTGCAGGTCTAATGGCTGACATTGAGCATTCCAACCGTATGTCCTTGTGCATTCACGCAACCTTCGAAGATACTTCCGACGTAAAATCGGAAAGGGACTCCCGTGCTGCAAACAGCAGACCGGACTGTCACCTACCGATTGAGGTGGGAACGACTATGGTGTTGGAGAAACACTTGATCGAAGCACACCTCGACAAGAATACCCAGGGTACTTAATCTCGAATCGCCGGTTGTTTTGGGTGCCCACCTGTTCGATAGTGTTTTTCAGGTACTGGATAGTGCTGCGGGCCTGATTGACCCGCTCACCCATGGCCTGCAAAGTAACCGCCAGCACCAGCACCAGCAACACAAACGCATCGAAAAATATGACCACGCATCCACGCATTGAAGGGGGGGGTAGTGTTAGATCAAACCGGCCGGAACTGTGAGTGGATCAAATCACTTCAACCTTTGGGGGTGGTGTCAAGGTTTGAAGTGAGCATGAAGTTCGGCGCGGTGGAAAGACGGCACATTTTTTCCCTCACCCCTGCCAGAACGCCACCTGTGGTGGGGCCCAAGGAGAGAAACGGATTTGCCGAGCAAGCTCACCCTTGCCTTCGCTCAGTCAGCATCTTTAACCGACGTGAATCTGTTTAATTTCTTTTTCTCCTCTAGCTTTCCCCCTCTGAGTCAGTAATTTTGTGCGCCGTTGGATATTTTGATGCTTCTATCTGCAAAAATCCGCCAGCTGTCACACCAGACCGCCCCCTTCCTCGCAACTTGCGGGAAAAACACGGGTAGTGATCTTCGCTCGAGAACATTCACCACCGTACACATCCAACCACTCATTAGCCTCGTCAATGCGTATGTTATCGTCGTATTTTGGTGATGTATTCGAAGCCGAACATGGTTCACTACTGCTAAGATATGAAGCCGCCCCCACAGAAACAAGATGTGAAAGCGAACCTTCGCCCTGGCGTACTTCTCCCCCAGAAGCTTCTTGTTCTCCTCCAGCGCGACCCTACCCGAGTACCTCTCCCTGAAGTATTCGAACGCCCTCTGAGGGCCTCCAAGCACGCTGGCGTCGCTCGGGCGCTCCACTCCACCGACACTACCACTCCTATGCCGTCCACTAGCGTCTCGCCCCCCAACCGTCCCATTCGGCGCGACTACCACCCGCCCTGCCCCCTCGCTGTTGGCCAACAACTTCCCCCCACTGGCGGCGGCGGCGGCGGCGCCCGCAGCTGCGGCTCCCGGCTGGGGGCTCCGCCGACTATGTTGCTGAGTCTCCCCTACCGGGTCGTGCGGCCGGTTTGGTGGCAGCCCTCCTCCTGTCGTTGCTCCTGGTGTCGCTGAGGAGGGGGCTACCGCGCATGCATGGCATTTCCCCTTGAATGTTAGGACGGGCGCGATCGGAGGGGGGGAAGGTGGGGGGGGGGGTGTACTCATAGTCATGCATGCCGTAGTGGTTAGACCATTGACCTCGCATCCCTAAAAAGCCGGGACGGAGCACGCCGGGTTCTCACCGGACCAGGCTCTCACATCACCAAGCGCGAAGCGCCGTGAGATATTCGGCGAGTCGCATGAAGGGTGCGCTGCATCCTGCTAAGGGTGTTCGGCATCTTGTGCTTACTTCCTTGCGTACGGATGACAGCTGCGTATGACTTAATTTATTTTCTGGTGCTTTCACTTCCAGAGACAGTTGTAAGCACTGTGTAACTGCCTCGAGGGTGCTTGACCATTTTAACACAACGTGGTGCGATCATCCCCCTTGCGCGGAGTGAGGGTTCTCCACCCCGCACAACATGATCTACTCGACCACCATCATGGTTACCGCCAAAAAAAAACCGGAGGTAAAAAAAAAAAAACGGTAACCTGATTGCCGAGTTCACGAAGTGAATTGGCTTGTTTTCCAACGTCGTTGCCAAGCGACGAAAACCCAATCCCGATGGTAAACGAGGGGGGGAAGGGGATAGGTTATGGACGGCGGTTGCGTGGTCGGTCTGCCATTATTCCGGAGACTCTGGACCCCTCTGGCGTTGTGCAAAATCGTAAGCACTTGCCATTTGGCAACCGTTCAGAGGAGATTCTCCAGCGTTGCCTCCACGCCCACAACTCAAGGAGATTGACCATTCCAATTGTTATTTTTCTCACAAACATGGACAACTTGCTTGCTCAACTGGTTCGCTGATGCTTGGCGTTCCTACTAGTGGCCGTGAGCACGGCAAAGAAACCCTGCGGCTTGGTATTCCTGCCCCTTCGAAGAGGTATGGGACAGCCAAAATGACTACCGCAGGATAATGCCCGATGTTCTCAAGCTTGGACGGATTTTGACATAAAACCGCAGTTCTCGTGTAGGGAAGGGAGGAATAAAGTATCAATGCAAGACGCCGCGTTTGGGACGAGAAGTGTTGGATTTTCAGCTTCAACTGAAACAGTTGGTAATCGCTTCTTCCCGAAGGAACCAACCGAGTGATAACAACAGCGTGACTGGCCGTAAAACAGGCCAAGCCCAACATAACCAGGAACAGAGAAGTAGAAAACGACACCCATCACGCGTGAGGAACCTACAGGTATCCTCCCGAAACTTCAAAAGGAAAAAAGAGTTTACCCTCTGCCGAAAGCCTTCCGTGCGTAAGAACGTTGGTGAGGCCGCGGAAGCTCTGTGGAAAAGAACCATTGAAGCCTTTGCCAAAAACCCACAACACACCTGCTTGAGCATGTTGACGAGGATTGCGATCTCATTGTCTCTCTGCCTCAGGGAGTCTCGGAGCGAGAGCAGCTGATGCGACGAAAAGTGGGCAAGGCAGCGGGGTACACCAGAAAGGCGCGTAGAGGCGGGCAGAAGGATTTGTCCCTGTTTCAGATGAAGCAATAGTGTTTGCAGCTTTCCTACGTTTCCTGCATAATTTGAGCTTGTTCATGATGACACGGAACTGACGGGAGGCAGTGTTCTTCGACTACTGGGCGAAAGGTCCTGCTGCAGACGGTAGAGAGGTGCCACCGAGCCTACTCTCGCAACTCTCGCATGCCCAACTCGTCTTGTTGGGGTGATTGATTGACTGGAGAAGAGACCGAAACAAGTTACGCAAGGGTATGTTGGACCAATCTGACTTTTTCTTCCGCTGTCCGCGTTCTCCCTGAAAAACGAGGCGGGTCCATCGAGTCTCACCGGAGCCCGCCGTTCGTAACGATCCCAAAACGCCGACACCACCCACAAGGAACGAAAACGACTCCAAGTTCATCGAACCGTGGAAGACCTAACGCTTCAAAGACTACACCCTTTCGCCTCCCGTGCCCCTCCCTGCCAACTCTTTTTCCGACCCCCAACTCGACCATGTCCCCTGACAAGGCTGCACTTCGAACTATACCCGCCACTCCGCACCTGTCCGCCAAGCTCGCCCGTAGTCCCTTCCCCTAGCTTCGTCATCGCTCCGGCAGGCCCACCCTCTCCAATCACATCATGCCCTTTCGAATGCGCGCCCCCGGTGCTTAACGCCCGCCCACCGTCGAGCACCATCGCCTTGAACACTGAGAAGCAGCGCTTGAGCTTGGTGAGGGTGTAGGCCCCGATGCTGAGCTGTGCGCTCGGCGCGGGATCTTCGACAAACGCGCGACACCTAATAGGTGGTCCCGAGCAGCGTGCGCAAAGGCAATAGTACTGCGTTTTAGCGTGGGCGGTCGCGATTGGTGGTGGTCGTCTTCGCCCCACATACATGTACCATTTGGCTCCCCCTGCACAATCGGCGCAAGGTGAACACCGGCGTACTGCAGACTATGTGCGCTTCAGTCCTCGTCCTACTCATCCTATGAGAACAAGGTCATAATTGTTCTTGCTGTTCCGAGGAGAGCGGTACCTGAAACCTTCACTTTGAGGGTGGGACGTTGTTTCAATTCAGCTGAGCGAAGCATGCGCCGGTTCTATCCTGACCAAGGCATTCTGCTTGTGTCTGACGACGAGGCGGAGGTCGAAGCGAAGGACATGGTAGCCAGGGAATGGGTCGCGGTAACACTTCCACGGCCATCGTCCTGGTCAAACGTCCGCACCCCTCTCAGGAGCGATGCTCGGAATGTGACGTGCGAGGGGTTAAGTTGGAACCGTTGCAGTGACCGAGACAGTGTTGTCTCATGTAGATTTCTCTACCTCATCACCGTGTCGACTTGGGTGTGCATCATCCGGGTCATCCGTATGTATGTTTCAAACTGTGCGAACGGGTCGGCGCTGTTAACCCCTAGCCATCCGCGTCTACGCCCCCTTGCTGCCCTGCCATTCGTCGAGTATGCGAGGTAGTTGTACGAACCTGTTCTTGAGATCTTCGGCCTCCTCAGACGTGAGCTCTTCGCCATCGCCGGTTTCCCCCTGCATGAAGCCGTGGTTTCAACATGGCGGTTTCAGTCCCTTATTGAACGTAGTTTCGCACTTTGTCGTGGCTCATTGTGCGAAATAGTCCGCGGTCGTGAGCAATATCACAGCGTACGTGGACAGCAAGAACGAAATACCAAGAGAGTACGTCCCCTGGACTAGTTGTTCAAATCTCCATTTCTCCACAGCAGAAAGAGTGGTGATTCAGAAGATGTCGACGATGTAACCATCTTGTCGAGCACCTTCCGAAAACGCATGGTTTGGATCACACATGTTCTTCGCCGTGTGGAGTAGTCGAGCTCTGAAAATCGGTCCAGGGGTGTGATATCTTGTGTCACCTACTGTAGTGTCCGTAATGACAGCCGTGGAAAAAGGCTTCGGCTAGGATGGCGTCTTCCTTTTCCTCGCCTTCAAGAACGCCACCTCGTCGCTTAGGGCTGCGTTATCGGACCTGAGCCTCCGTATCAGAACCTCGGGATCGACGTCCTCGTTGACTCTGGCGTCGTTCTTGATCGTCGACACTCGCTGGGCGAACCGGCACGTCGATATGGACTCTTCCGTTTGCGCCTGGAATTTCATCAGGTTCCGAACGATAGTGGTCGTGCATTGAAAGAGGGTGGTCATATCTCCGGGGAAAGTTGGTCATACTCTCTCGAGGGTCAGCACGGGGAAGGAGCGGGAGGGAGGTACCTGTTGATGACGTTGCAAGCCCTAGCTTATACACAATGTATATTTGGGTCTCTCCACGCGTAGCAGCGTAGCAGCGTAGCAGGAAAGTTCTTGGTTGTGATGATGATAAACTCAAAGCATGCACCCTGTCTGAAGGACCCCACCCTCTCGATATGCTTTTACTCAACCACCCACCGCCTCTGCGTTCACAGTGGCGATCATGACCGTCTTGCAGTTCCCCCCGAGACTGTCTCGTAGCACCGAGGTCATCATCGAATTGCGGTACGGAATGTGTTGCCTGGCGAGAAAAATAGAGTACAAAAAACAACGTATTGCAGATAAGCGCACTTCGCGTTAGCCTTGGTGACATGCGATTTGATTATTGCTAGGCCTTGCTTACAACGGTTCGAAGATTTCTTGGACAACAAGCAAATCAAGCTCTATTTAAACTCTCACTGATGAAGACAAAGAACAAGGCCACTTGCGGTGAATCAGGGCAGGCTTCCTGTACCTACCCGTTTTGGTCGAGGAGGTCAACGGACAGCAAGCACGGTAAGGTACTCGCCTGCCCTTAGCGCCCCTCTCGCGCAGGGCCACGATCACCATCTCCAAGAAAAAGAGGGATACGTTGATGTGCTTGGCCTCCACGAGCGTCTGCCCCCCCGTCTGCGTCTTGTGCACTCGCTCGGATCCGGCCAGGTCGACCTATGCGTTTTTTTTTTTTATGGGGTATTCTTCGTTCCTGTTGTGTTTGCTGTGTTTGATAATGCTGTTGTTGTTACAAGCCTCCACCTCTTCCATCCCCTTGGTTCTCGGAAGCCTCGTGTTCCTGTTCTCTATAGGACGGTCAAAATCGCCTCTAGGTAGGTTTTGAGTGCCGGCGTGCCACATTACACCCAGTTGCTAAATTTTGCAAGGTTAAGATGCCTTTGACACCTATTTTGCAGTTTTTCGGTAAAACCTGCGTGTGATTAAAGTCATGGACGCCTCTTCCATCGTATTATGTCGTGCCTTGTCCCATTGGTGGAAAATAGTGTAAAGGTCCATGCCACTGCGCTTAATCGCTTGAGTTGAGGAATGATCCTTTATGAGTGCGAACGGATCCTACCGTCCCGAATGCCACGCCCCTTGATAGAAGCGCATATGCACGAAAGTATGATGTTCATGCGAATTCTCCGTCCTTTGTGTACGCATACGCATCAGGTTTAGCAGTCTTGTCGGAGGTGGCTTGGCCAGAGGAACCTCGCAGAAAAGGGGTAGGACGCCGCGCCTAGCTATCTTGCGGACCGGTGCAACACACGCCGCATGGCAGAACACGTCTCCGTTTGGGAGAATACTATTCTCCTATGCACGAGCCAGCACGAGCGTTTCTTCGGCTCTCACCAGGTGCAGCTTCGAGCGCATGACCTTGTCAGAACCATGCTTGCGACCCTCCACCGAGATCTGCACGTGAACGTGGCCAAAAGATGGCGGGGGTAAGGACGTGGCGTTGCGTTGAACGAGAGGGAGAGGGGTGGGTGGACGAGTGTTCCTTACATCGCGCTTGCTGGTTCTGGAAAACAATCTGAAACGTATCTTCTGGCGTGCAAATCCGACCTTCCCCGCCCTTGCGCCTGTTACGGAGGGTTCTTTGCCGTACGGCGTGCCACTTGCTGAAAATGCTGTGCTCCGTCTACCGCAACCCACCGTAAAAATGCAGTGAGAGCGAGAGGAAGCCTTGTTCATGGCCGTCTCCGAGATGGCGCGATTAGTGTCTCCCAAGAAAAGATAGTTCAAGGCTTCCTCCTCGTTCGCCGCAAGGTAGACCGACAGGTTTCTGAGGGGCAGGATCGGTTCGGTCGTGGTTCGTTTCGCCCGGCGGCGTCGGGGGCGGGGTAGGGGTCGAGGAATAGACGGTACACGCGCGGAGAGCCTGTAAGCAGTGGGATATCAAACATATCTACACTCCTGGGGATTCCGTTCTTGTCCCCGCCGCATTTCCTTCTACCCGACGGACGTACTTGCGCGTAATCGTGACGGTTTCACCGCCGTCACGAGCCCGCAAACAGCAACGAAAAAACGATGTATACCCTGTGGATACGTATCAGCTTAGAGGATTATGTTGCTTTGGTGGAACCTTTCTCGTTCCTTTTTGTAACCGTTGCCTTTCTACCGCCAGTGTTGTACGTGCTATACCTCAGATGTATGTTGCCGTCCTCGTCTTCCAAGAGTGCCACCTTGGCTAGGTCTTCCAGTTTTTTCGAGTCATGGCTCGGGTCCAGTAGGTCGAAGCCCTACGGGCGGGACCGACAAATTGTTCGGGGGGATCAATCGCGCAAGAAATACTGTTGTTGGGTTTGATATCTACGGCAGTATGAAACTCACAAGAAGGGAGAGAGAGAGAGGGAAGGGTCGTGGTTGCCAGGTGCTTTCGAGATTTGTCCCTTGCCAGGGACTGCAGGAGTGATCAAGAGAACGCAAACTGGGGGCAGCGAGACAGCACGAGGAGATACGGGAGTGTGTAGCTTCAGCACAACAATCAGTGCGAGCTAGCGTCGCGCGAAGAACGATTGGCCTCCAATGTGTCAAAGGAAAGATGGACGACGCCCACGCTAGGCATTGTCTAAAATGTCGTCGTCTGTGTCGAACATTCGTCTGCGAAGTCTCCTCACTTCCAACACACCCGAAAAACGGGTCCGGGGCTGGCACCCATTCTAGCTCTGAACACCGCGAAAGGTTCATCATGCACCAGAAACAACCAACCGAATGCGTCGGACAACCCGCAAGAACGCGTTTAATCCTTCTCATCTTCCTAATCCTCTCCTCCGCAATGCAGAAGTCAAGTTTGGTGCAGATCGAAAGACCCCCGCATCATACCCACCATTGCTCCAGTCGTACTATGGAAAAAATGTACGACACACATGCACAATACTGAGCCTACCTGTTCGTTGTAAATCTCAAGGTAAGAAATGTGACAGGTAAACTGCTGGTCGCTGCGCTCCTTGAACTCCGCGAATATGAGGCTTAGAGCGCGAGGGATAATCCCGCGGTCCACGTATCTGTCGTGTAATTTTCAGGCCAGAAAATGGGTGGTGGCGTGCTATGAGCGTTTGCCGTGTTGAGTGGGAATTGCAAGATCTCTCCTGACGAAACGTCGGTCGGACAGTCTCACGTGCGCGAAGGAAAGAAACCGGTTCTGGGAAGTCGGTTGGTGCACCCTCGTCAGCCTGGTCTTGTACACTGATGACCAAGTTTTCTGTCGTCGCCCGGGAATAAAAACATCCTTTTGTCCTTGCGGAGAATAAGCAAAAGTTACCAATCTAGATCTGTATCTTTCGCGAAAAAGTCGTCGGTGAGATCTCAAGACGACCGGTAACTCTCTCGTCCTTGAAGTACTGTTTTCCAGGCCTCTAGCAGTTCTGGTGATGTGACACAAAATTGTTGAAGACACCCATTAGAAGACCCGTTGGACACGAGAAAAATTCCAGCGTTGGGTCTTGTACGCATACGGCGTCCGCACTTTCGAAGGACACCGTGTTGCCTGCGACTCTTCCACTGACAAAAGGCTACCAAGCCTGTGAGGGATCGTGGACTCGCCTCTCAGCTCCGCCAGTGACGGTGAACGTCTTTCCCGACCCGGTCTGTCCGTAGGCAAACACTGTTGAATTGTATCCATTCAGGACATTGGATACGGCCTCCTTTCCGATCTTGGCGAAGACGTCCTCCTGTTTAGCGATCGATACACATTGATTGGCCGACACGCAGCGGTTGGAGGTACAGGTGATGAATGGTTCCTGGTGGTTGATGTTTGCCTTGGAGTACGCACTGCATTAGACGTAAATCACATCTAAGAGTGGACCACCTGGCCTACGCTGTTGGCCATGAAACTACCATTGAGAGTGCTGAAGATAACCAGGAACAGTTGGAGGGCGTACACAGATACGTAGGTGCCGGTTGGCAACGGTGAAGGACCAGTCTCCGTGTCTGTCGACAACAGCCTCCCCGTGGCTGTTTATCTACCTCGAACTTCTCTCCTTGATCGTACCGAAGCAGGGCAGGGCATATTCAGAACATGAATGCTCATGCGGCATCCCGAACAATACTAGACTACGTTTTCCCATGACGCAATCCACAGAGAAGGCACTCAAGCAACAAATGGGTGTTCGGTGCAGCTTGACAAACAAAGCACTTGGGGAGATGCTGACAATACCCGGACCCCGTGAACGTGAGCACCACTCATATCAATACCGCGTCTACACATACATCCTCGTGGCGTTGCACTCTATCCTTCTCTGTACGTTGTGCGCCAAGCCAGCTGTGAATGGCTGTGGCCGCCCTGTTGTCAGCAACCGCATGCGACACACATGGGCACCTGTTGTGACAGCAGTTACCTTAGACTATGTTGGAGCACATGATGTTACCTGAGTGGCCTTCTCGCCTAGGACCCCATCGAACTTGAACTTGTGTGACGTGCGGGTGTTGTTGACGTACTGTTCGAGGTATTCATGGTGGTGTTTGAAAATTATTGCACGGAACGGGATTAGCCATGCATAGTCGATATGTAGACTAAATATCATGCGCTATGCATTTGTCTACAAGCGTAGACTACCAAGAGTAAAGAGCAGAATCGATGGGCGACCCAGGATCGGAGCTTGCCGTCAGGAAGGCAAGATCGTAGTGTAGCTAAACCGACAGTACGAAATTTTCTAAAGTGAAATCTTGCGCACATTCTGTATACTGCTCTACTCATGCAGCTGCAGAGCAGTGAAATAGGCTTGGCAACACAGCATAGACTAGACTTCCAGTGTTACAGCAGTTGTACACTACAGCAGCACCACTTGTTTGAGAATGTCAGGATTCGTAAATCATCGTTGCGATAACATTTGGCATTTGTTGACGTAGCGTAGCGTGTGTTTTGAACCATACGTCTATCTACGATCCCTTGTTCTCACCTCCCCGTCCTTAGTCTCTACGGGCACGTGGAAGCCTAGCCTGGTCTTGTCGAACTCGTCGACCTTGATGTAGCCCGACGGTCGCTTCGAGGGTCGGATCCGTAGGAACGTCCGTATATGACTGCTATGTCCACCATCCCCTCCTTCGGCTGTGGTCTTCCCCATGCTACATGTAATCGAGTTATCCCTTAGCCAAGCGATGGGTGTACCGCGTTCCACGTTCGGCCGCGGTGTTGGGATCGCTCACACGCGGACGCTGATGCGTCAAGAAGTTCAACCGCTTGACAGCTAGACTATGCCTGCACCTAAAGAACGCAAAGATCGCGCGCACCCGGTTGTGCGTTTCTTGCCAGGAGTAAACCTCACGTAGTGATATCGCGATATTGATTAGTCTAGGCAGCAAGAAGCAAACGGGGATTGATACTGAAATAATACGTTGACCCCGACCTGTGCACGTTCTCGCACGACGACTGCTTCGCGCGTGACGTGTGTCGAGAAAGCATGAAACGGCTGGTTTTGTTGCTCTTCGTTAGCGACCAGTTCCGGCGTTTCCAGGGAGCTTTCTCTCTCTTCCTCGCTCCCTCTCTCCACTTCACACTCACACACAACTCATCGCCGGAGGTAGCCAGCCAGGTTTGGAAGCGACTCGATAGCCGACGAGAGGGATAGCTTCCCCCCGACGCCTCGCTCGCTGCAGGCATTCCCCACACCTTCTCCCTTCGGCACCTGGTTCCGTCAGGTAGCCCATCTAGGAGGGCACGATTGAAGGAAAGGTACGCGAAAAGGCGTGAACACGTATGCTCTTGAATCCAATCACTACAGCAGCTCGCACCCCCCACAGACGAGAGGAAACGCACCATCGCTTCCGGGGGCCATGAAAGATACCTATCGCTCGCGCTTTGGGCCGCTGCTGCTACCGCTACAGCGAGTCCTCGTGGCGTACACGCGGCGCTGCGTGAGCTGCAAGCAGCATCAAATTGGGGTGTTTTTTTTTCGTCAGGCAACTTCGAGTTCGGATGTAATTTGTACTTTCCTTGTCTGTCGAGAGCGTCTCTGTCTTGTGCGTGCGCCACTGTAAGCCAGCCCGCACCTCCCGCCAGCGGTTGCAGGTGCTCGTGGTAGCCCGTCCATGTCTGCGAACTTCTGGCCGCCGAAGCGGACATGCAAATTTTTGATGATGGTCATCACACCTTGGAAGGGCAAAAAATAAATACGCGGCGAGACTCTGGGATAGCGACCAAGGCAGATTGTTGCACAAAAAATATATTGTTTTTAGACTTGAACCAGCCCAAGGCATTCTCACGTTCTCGCTTTCCTGCACCAAAAGGTGTACCGTTGATTACACCGATACACAGCAGCAGCAGCAGCAGCAGCAGCAGCAGCAGCAGCAGCAGAGGCAGAGGCAGAGGCAGCAGCAGCAGCAGCAGCAGCGGACGCGGCACAGCGAGCTTTCGCTTGCCCAGCCGCATCAGGCATAGACGCATCACACCTATCTCGTGACCTCCATGCTCCAGTACGGGTGGCAATCCAACACAAAATAGGGCTTCGGGCATTTTTTTTTTTTTTGTCTCCCATCATTGAACTCTGTCGTCTGCCCCTCTGGCCCCAATCCTCCACTTCTACCAGCTAGACGACCCAACCGGGGTCACATAGGAGGGGGGGGGTTGGACCCCCTCCTGCGGTTCCTGCCTGAGATATTTTTATCACGAGAAGGGTACAGCAATCCCTTCCCTCGCGACTGATAAAGTCGATCAAGTTTACTAACAACGAGCTTTGCAGCGCGTCGCTTCCAACGGAGAGCAGGATTCAATATGGCAGACCGAAGCAGCTCCTGTTGTTGCTGTAAGTTTTCTACTTGAATTTTTCCTCACGCACGAGCTTATCGCGCAGCTACTGTCTGGTACGTTTTGTGCTATTTTTTATTTTTGGGTGAAAATTTGTCGCGCAATTTTTTGCGGCACGGGTACATCAACGGACTTGTTACGCTGGCGAAGCCCGCGAGGACTTACGAATCAATCGCCCTCTTTTATTGTAGTACACGCAAAAGAGGCTGGCTGCACGCGCTCCTGCTGTCCTTACTGTATCGACCTTGTTTTATCCCTCCGATGTATCTCTCTTTCCGTTTGTATACTTTCGGGAGGGTATCAATCGCGGGGAACAACATGTTTGAAAGGCCTGACACAAGGAAAGAGGCACTTGTTAAATATTCACGTTCTTCCAAGAGTTTCGAGGCGTCCGAACTGCCATGAGCCAACGCCGTCGGATACCGTTTGCGTCAAGTCAACATATGTTACGCACCTCCATGGTGAAGGAAGCGCCCCAGAAAGCAGAGAAGTCGCCGCCAGCAAAGCGTCATCGCAAGATTAGAAGTACTTTGAAGTAGTTTTTTAAGACACGAGTAGAAAAAGAATTTGTATAAGTACATGCGAGCACAAAGAGGCTGCCCGTTCTATGTAGACATCACCACGAAGTTGGTGTATTGAAGTCTTTACAGCAGTAATGGGGAGAAAATACCTGAGTGCTGGGCCTTTTTTGAGTCTTAATGAAGGCTACAAGATGCACTGAATTGTTACCAGTGATGCTAGCTGGTGCGAATCACAATACCTCTGCATGAGTATTATTTAGGTGAAAGTAACATTTCACAGAACATCCCCCAAGAAAAGTCTTGTCCCGTGTGACATGGAGAAAGGACGAGGACACGCTTGCTGTAAAGGACTTGTACTGCTGTACATGGTACGAGCAAAGTCTGCCTGAATATTGATGGTGATGCCGTTCACCGAAACACCAGCAGCTGCGATGTACATGCTCCAGAATCGCTTCAACTTCGACGGACAGAAATTGCAATAGCACCATCACGTTCCTTGAGGCGGTCTGATGGGAGGCTGTTTCTGATCTCTGGGGTATAGATGGTCCGTCTGTCGAAAACAGCAGCAGCGGATTGCGGCTGCGAAACTACTCACAGCCCAGTGTTGACTATTAATAATGGTCCCAGCCTGTTGCTGTGGGTGTGTTCATCTGCACCTGCTGCAGCCTTGGTTGAGTGCCATCTTTTTTCAGGTGGTGCCCCTACTGTAAAGCGTGTAATTGCCAAGACAACATGAAAATACACAAAAGACGGCGGGCACCAAGTTAAATGGAGACCCTATTCCGCCGCTGATTGACGGACGCCGAATTAAGTATGTTCCGCCGCCTTTTTCGGTGGGCCCCCACACCTTGTTGTGTGTGGTACAGCAGTAGTTGCGCATATGCGACAATCTGGACCTTTGAGTGTACTGCTCTTTTGTGTCTGCTTCGGTGTCCGCACCTCGACTGACACGCTACTGTACACTACAGTGTGCTCAGCTCTATATGTGCAGCAGAGAAAACCGTGTGAAAGTGGTGGTGGGTGCAGCGCAGACGATGCTATCGTCGGTGCTACTCACACTTCTGTACTTCTGTAGCCTCTCGACACTTTCCCTATACCCCGGAAGAGATGGAAGTGAACCCGCCCCTATTTTGATTACGATAGAAAATAGCGTACTGTAGTGCTACTTGACACTTTTCACGACGTGCCTCGCGGCATTCTGTGCGCGCAAAGAAAAATATCGGCGAACCCCTGAAACAAAGTCCTGCCCGGTTTGTGTGTCCGTGTTTGTTTAACTCCCCACCCTCTCTGCGGCAGGCAGATGCGCTCCACCTTGTAACGGACACTTCGGGATAGTCACACACACACACACACACACACACCAGAGTTCGACAAAAATTCACAGAAGACTGCGCATCCTTGTTGCGTCCTCGAGAGAGCGGAAGGCATGAACCCTTCAATCTACGTCGCCCCCCTCCCCTCCCCCCCCCCGGGAAAGAAGAAAGCCACAGAAGGAAAACGGAGACACCCCCAAGCATACCCCCCCNCATGCAAGTACATGAAGATGCAATGGCGGTCCGATACTGTAGTCAGCAGGACTGCTGTGCTGCTCGCGCAAGCTGTTGCTGATCTCGCTGCTTCCTAACTTGGGGGACATCAATCATGCCTTCCCTGAGGAACGGTTTTAAGTTTTGTCGCAGCACCTCGTTGCCCGCAGTCGCGGCGTCACGATCGCGCGAAGCCGGGCACGTGTGTCCAAATATTGGCGGACACACGCGTGCTCTCTCTTTAATTCTCTCGTCGTTGCGCCTACCTAATCTACCACGTCTGTATGGTAGATCCAGGAGAGACTTCTGCGGAACGAAGGAAGATGTTGACGACGGTTTCACGCAGACTGGGTAGAACCGTATGCCAAGTTTCGTTTGGTAGCTGCTGCGTTGGAAGGACCCGTGCTAATATCGTTTCTTCATTGTTGACTCCTGCTTTCACGACGCCAGCGTGGTTGACCCCCCCCCCCCCCNCCCGTACCGCGTCGCCCCCTCCACCGGCCGGGCCGGGCACAACAGAAGAAGCGCCTGGGTTCGCCTACGGGCCGTGAGCGATCGTCCAGCAAGCGGGCGAAAGGGAACGGCGGCGGCGACGGCGACGGCGGCGGCGGCGGCGGCGGCGGCGGCGGTGGCGGCGGCGGTGGGTCTCGAAGTAGTGGTAGTGGTAGTGGCAGTGGTGGTGGTGCCCGTCAACGCAAGGAGGGTGGGAAGCAGCTCGTTGGAGGGAAAGGCGAGGAACAGGGGGTCGGGCACTTTCCTGCGGGGAGTTCTTCCATGGATGACGGCCAAGGGGCGTCTCGAGCGTGGTGAGTGTTTCTGTTCTACAATAGCTGGAACGGAAGAAGGAATTGACAGAAAGGGTGCCCGGCAGCGCGTAGGTCGGCCGGACAAACGAGAACAAAGGGGTCGGTTGTTCGTCTTCTGCTGCTGCTCTTGGGGAGAGATAGCGCCAGCGCGGTTTAGAGTGATTTGTTCTCTGGCTGCAGCGAAACTAACTGGAAAGAGAAACCTCGCGGCAGAATAATACATTGTTCGCTGGCCTATGAGGTCTCTACTGGTTGTACCTTGGCCTACACTGCAAGTATGGGAGATATCTATGCACTGTACCGATTTCCACGGGCGGGGACATTTCGTTCCTCTTGGTCTTCTGCTGCTGCGAATCTCGGAGACAACGACCAGTCAAGGCTGGATGGTGCTCCCTCTGTTCTTTGCCCCTTGTTGTGTTTCTCGTACACCCATTCAGCAGTAGTTCTACTGTGGTTAGGTGCCCCTCCATCTCGCATCCATCCTATCTCAAGATCATTCCCCCGCAAGCGCGAGAAACAGTAACAGTTCCAGATAGTTATTTTTTTTCACGTCTCGGAGATGGTAGGTTAAGGTCTCTCGGGCGAGCCCCTTTTTGACATGATTGGATGTTGCTCGCAGCGTAGTGCGTATCGTTGCCCTTTGCACCATCCGCGCTAGCCGTTTCAGTATGGGGGGCGGTTTGGCCACCCCTACCAATAGTGTCACGACGATATGTGGCCGCTATTCAGGGCTGGTCGCTAAACCGGACTCCCCATTTAGGGCACATATACTACCCCGGGTGCGGCGGTACGACGTGATGTTGTGGTCGCTAAGCAGGGCATGTCGCTAAGAAGGGGGTCGCTAGACCGCCCGCCCCTACTGTATTTGAAGCTGACCGACTTATTGACATGGAGCAGGCGTGTGTGTGTGTGTGTCTGTGTGTGTGTGAGGTACGCCACCACCCCCCCTGCATCTAAACGTTGTGCGGCATGTTCTCTGCCGCTTCGGAGGAGGTAGCTGTTTTTTCCCGACTGGGTGGATGCGTCTCTCCCAAGAGCTCCCTCCCATTCCCCTTGCACGGTTGGTTACCGTAACGCCGAAACTGGGGTGGTGCGGAAGCTTAACCTGGAACGCTCCTTCTTGTGTGTTGTATGTCCAGGTGGACGGAGGAAGACGGAGCGGCTTCGACGATCGTGACGCAGCAGCAGCAGCAGCAGCAGCAGCAGCAGCAGCAACCGTGGGACGATAGCCTCCCGTACCGGCGTGATGACTTCGTGAAGCTTCTCTCCAGCTGCCTCAAGGGGCTTGGCTACAGGTGGGAGAGAAAGAGCTTACGAGCTTACGTGGGCATCCTTAGGACAAATGAATGTGCTTCATCGCTGCTGTGCTTGCGCAAGGCGTGTTTTTTTTTTTATGATTGAACGATATTACTATTGATCAAGCCCACGTTCCATGCGGTCGTCGCACAGAAGGCTGCCTCTGGGGCTTGCAATCATCTTCGAACGCGACAAGGGTTGACCCGTCGTACTTCGGTCGAGCTTGCTCGCGAACAGACGACGGTTTCGACCCTTGGGTTGTACCAATTGACGGCCGCGGGGGAATCGCACATGGCCGACGTTGGGACTCCCAGCCTAATAGCCGTGCTATGTCTTAAGGTTACGCCGACAGGACGGTGCTGGGCAAACTACTCGAAGTTGTGCTCTGCTTGGGAACGGAAAGCAGACTGCAAGAGCACACACACGTACGTACGCCTCCGGTCAATGGTCCGGTAACATGTAAGACACACAAATCATGAGACCCCCCCCCCGGTGATGACAACTAAGGCATGCACACCATGAGTTCGACCCCACCTCCCCCCCCATGATGCGAGGTCAATAGTATCACGACTACGGCATGCGTTTACGTGAGCACGCACAACCCCTCCCCCCCCCCCCCCNTGCATGGAGTAGCAATGCGTCCAAGTCCCTTGAAGAGGAGTCTGGGTACAAGGCGGAGCCAGACGGCTGCACGGATGAGCTGCTGGTTTGCGTCTCGAACGGTCGCTGGAAGGAGGCTCTCGACCTTCTCCCCTCCGTGCAGGTGTTTGCTATTAGTACTGCTGTGACGTAAGCTGCTGTTCTGTGTGTGTTTTGTTCGTACGTCTTCCTACATACCGTATATGACACAAGATAACACACCCCCTGGACCGATTTTCAAAGCTCGATTATTCCACGACGAAGAGGATGCATAAACGAAACGATAAATTTTCGAAACGCTCTTGACGAGACGGTTTCAACGCCGCCGTTTTCGGCGCTGTGACTGTTCCTGCAGTTGAGAAATCGAGCTTCGAAAATTGGTCAAGGGCATGTGTTATCTTGTGTCATATACGGTAGTTGGCATGGCCCGCACTGTAACCGACCGATCAATGTGAAAACGCAAGTCTCATCGGGGGGGAAAATGTGTGTGTGTCTTTTCTAAGTTTTTGATTCGACCGCGTAACAACCGGCTGGCCTATGAAAAGACCTTCAGTGACCGCGAAAAAACATCAAGGTCCCTGTAAGGGGCCAAACTTCGAAGAAAACGCGCAAAATGCGCTTATTATAGTGGGATTTTGCCATGATCAATCTCTCTACAAATCCCTTCTGAGAGAACGCTTGACACATGCGTTTATCCGAGAACGTAGGAAGCCAAGTGATGCAAAGATTGGAGGGTGTCAAGAAGGGTGTGTGTGCATGTGGCTGTTTTTTGAATTAGAATCGATCGACCGCGTTATCATCCGGCTGACCGATAACCAGACGCATCACATGTAGGGCCCGGCCCGGACTAGTGGCGTCCTGGTTGCTTGCCTCCCAGTGCGTATCCATCACTGCTGCTGCTGCTGCTGCTGCTGCTGCTGTGTCTGGTGCCGTAATGTTCAGTTCCCGAAGCCTTCCCTGCACGCCCGAGCACGGGCTGTGCTGCTGAGGCATCGTTTCGTAGAGCTCGTGGAAGACAGGTGCAGTACACCCCGACTGCGGTATTGAGAGAGCTACCTCACGTGAGAGAAAACCGGATTTTAAGAGAGGAAAGCTGGCTTGTTCCGACCCTCTCGTAGATCGTGGCCAACCGTACCGTTTTTGTGAGTGAAACAAACTGCTGCTGCGTGCTTGTGGTTTTTACGATGTGGTTGTCGCCTGTGTTCGCATGCACACGTGGTTCATCCCATCTGCGTGTCATGATGCCTTTGTCGTTGTCGCTGGCTGCTGGGCGTATTGATCATGATGTCTATTGCCGTGCGTGTTTCCACTGCATGTACAGAATCGGTCATTCGGTCGGGTGAAAGCTTGCGGTTGTGTTTTTTACGGGTGTCGGTGTTGGGGCGCCCCCTCGTATCGAAAAAATGCAGCTGTTCACCAAGTGGTAAAATTCTTGGTCCGCGAACACACAGGCACGTCGACGAAGCTCTGACCTGCCTGAGAGAAGACATGACGCCTCTCTTCACTGCCTCCCAATGTCAAGAGGCAGCCGGTCCCGCCAGTGGAGACGACGGTGATCCTGACTTTCCCCGCCCAGAGCAGGTGAGAGGAACCCCATGGGGGGGTCATCAAGTGATGCAACGGTGCCCCCTCTTGCCGGAACCAGAGGGTACCCAACTACTTCTACTAAAGCGGGTGGAGCCCTTGGCAACCGATTTCGATCCTTTTGTACTATGTCGGAGCCCCCTATTTTATGGTACAGTAGTTACTCCGATATTCGAGGGTGGTGTGACCAAGGCCCTCGACCCTCTTATATATCGGAGCCCCCTCTTATCCACCGGAAGAAGGTACCGCTGTACCCAGCTGTACCATGGCGAGTCGAGTCCGTGACGACTGGTTTCGACCCTGATATATATCGGAGTCACGACTGTACCGTGTTTCCGGAGGGTGTCAGCGCCTTCGTGACAACCGAGTTTCGCCTTGTCCTGTGCACAGCAACAACGACAACGATGACGACGACAACGACAGCAGCAATAGCGTTCTTGTCTTCATGCTTGAGCTGAAACTGATGCCTTATGCCTGTTGGCGCCTATTGCAGGTTCCCCAAGCTTAGGCAGTCCGTGGTTGGTGTTTTCGAGTTGTCCCCGTCCACCACTAGACTGCCGTTTGCTGTGCGTTAACGCTCGCTCCTTCTGCTAACTTGGTCAAGAACAACGAAAACAAGATCAGGGAGGAACCCGCCCCCCCCCCCCCCCCCCCCCCCCCCNCCCCCCCCTCTCCGCTTAACCCTCGCCGAAGCCTTGGAAGCCATATACGAAGAAGCGGACTTCTTTTTCCTAAAAAAGTCTCGCGGTCAATGTCCTCACCCCCAACGAAACAACGAGAACCTGACTGCCCTCCCCTGGTATTGACGTTCCATTCGCGCCCCCCCCCCCCCCCCCCCCCCCCCCCCCCCCCCCCCCCCCCC